GAGGAGAGGCAGCGGGGGGGGGGGGGGTTATCATGGGCAAGAGGGTCCCCGAGGGGAGACTTTGCCGCTCTGACGAGGATCCTGCCCAGCAACCCTCACCTCGTTGCGAGCCTCCTGGTCCAATTCCTGGCACTGGTCCAGCGGGATTCCCCCCACCAGCTCCATAGACAGCACTCGCTTGGTGGAGAGCTCGTCCACCACCTCCGGCACCTCAAAGAAAGGGTCGCCTTCCAGAAGCTGCCTGGCAAAAGAGAGCCCTGTTGGGACCCCTGCCAGAGCCCCCCTCCCCCGGGCAATGAGCCTCCGAGGCCCAAGAGGCCAGCAGGGAGAGCTTAGCAGGGAAGCCCCACGCAGGAGTCGGCCGTGAACTGGGTGTCGTGAGGCCGTTGGCCCAGGGCTCCCACCCGGCCACAGCCTACCTGAACCTCTTGGTGCTGCTGGCTTCCCGCTCGTAGTCGCACTCCCTCTCCAGCTCCTCCTGCAGGACCCGCAGGGTACTGTCTGCAAAAAGGCCTGGCGAAGGAAGGGTGGAGGAGTGCCCAGCTTCACCTTCTGCCCTTCCCCAGGGTTCCTCGCAGGGGCACGAGGCTGGCAGCCACATTTTTAGGGACACGGATGTGGGCAGGGCAACAGCTGATCATCTGGGAGTTGATCCTCGCCCCAAGACCCAACTCTCGTGCCCGTCAGAAGCCCGAGAAACGCATCCCAAGCTTTATCTTTCCCCTTTACCTGCTGGGAACATCGTGCTCATCCTGAGTACCGACAGGAGGTTGTCCATGTCACTCCGGATGCTCTGGGCAATTCCAGGGTACTGTAAGAAGGAAGGTTGGAGGAGGAGGTGTTAGAAGTGGGGCAGGGCACCCTGCAATGGTTACCACCTCTTCCCCTCCTGGCCTCCTTCCATGGCCCTTACCTGGATCTTCATTGCCACCTCCATCCCGTCCTTCAGCACTCCCAGGTGCACCTGCCCCACAGAGGCAGCAGCAAAAGGCATTTCGTCGAAGGAGGCCACTTGCTCACGCCAGTCCGTGCCCAGTTCTTCGGACAGCACCCCCTGGAAGGGGAGGAACGCACAGAGAGGGGGGGTGTTTTGGGGGGGTGGGAGTTGAAGGTCAGCCAGCCAGCAAACAGCTCCGTTGATGGCTGCCCAGGCAGACCCCTCCTCTGCAGAGTCTAGCTGCCACTGCCCTCCGTCCTGCCCCATCACTTGGAACTTTCCAAGGGCTAAAAGCTGGCACCCACCCACCCCAACTCCATGTCAGCAACACACCATCATCTGCGAGGGTGGCATGAAATCTGCACTCTGCCGGACTCGCTCAAAGACCTGCTGCAGCTGGGGGCTGAGGAAGTAGCTGTCTGTGGGGAGAACGGAGGGTCCCCATAAAGCCCACCTGTCACGTAACAGACGACAAAAGGCTAAATATGGAGCCACCCCCCCCATCCCATATGGGAGGCATCTGCCCCAGCCCCACCTTGGATGCTTAACATCTGGCCGATCTTGAGAGCCGCCCCTCGCATCCTGCACAGAGTGTGGACAATCCGCTCGGCGTTGGCTTCCGAGACGCTGCTCTCTGCGGGGAGGGAAGCACTGCGGAGCCGAACTCAACAGGGTGGGCCCTTCCCCCCCGCCCAAAGGTCGGTTGCTGCAGGCTCTCCCCCTCCCCCCCCAAAGCCCCAGGCTCAGTCAGGCGGCAGCTCTTACCGGAGGTGCTTCGGTGCCCCCGGAGGGAATTCCGCACGGCTTCAACCAAGGCCCCGAAGCCCAGCCCCACGGCCAGCCCTGCGGGGAGAGGAGGGTGCAGGGCCTTCAGCGGGCGAGCAGCGCGGCCGCCACGGAGGTCGCCCGAAAGGGAGAAGCCCCCTCCGCCCCCCCCACGGCGCCCCCTCCCCCCACGGCTCACCTCCCACGGCGGCCAACCGCCCGACGCGCGTGACGGGCACCTTCCTCTCCCGGGCGCGCTCGCTCAGCTGCGGAGAAAGCAAGTCAGGCGCCGCCTGGACCGGGCCCCGCCGGCAGCCGCCCCGCCCAGCCCGGGGAGGGTCTCACCTGGGACCTGGCCTGGGCCGCCCCCGCGCTCTTCCGCCTCCGGGCCTCGCGGGCTCTGCGCACCTCCTCCGCGCTCAGCCCGCGCAGCCCCGCCGACCGGTGCAGCGCCGCCCGAGCGGGAGAGAGTCCGCGCGGCCGGAGGAGGAAAGGAGCGCCGCCGCG